CTTTTGTTCTTCAGTCTAGTTGTGGAGGACATCGCTTCACTGGCCCATGTTGGTATTATCATTGCGCTCTTCCTGGGTGAGGCAGATCGGTCGCCGGCCTCTGGATGGCTGCTCATGGCGCCTCTTGGAAGCTCACATTGACTGCCAGCCGCTCACGGTGGCTGCCGGCCACACATGGTAGCTTATGGCAGCCCACTGCAGTTTCACTGCAGCCTACGCCGTTGCTGGCAACTCACAGCAGCCCAGCTCCAGGTTGAGCTGTTGTTCACCATTTTAGCTGTAGAGGGTGCAGCGTCATTGGCCCTCATGTGGGATCCGAACCGGGGCCCTGCTGCTCAGAGCCGGCGTCCCAAGCCAGCTATTAATCAACACGCCACTGGGCCGGCCGCTAAATGTCCACTTTAATAAATTATATTAAAAACAAAGGAGATACTCAAAACTCATGATATCTCCTTTCTTTTTTTGTTTTCTGCTTCATTAACTTCAGCTTTATCTTCATTAACTCCATCTACTTTCTTTTGGTTTAGATTTTGTTCTTTTTTCTCTAATTTCTTTTAAAGATTTTTATTGGGGAGTTGGGGGAGGGAAACATTGTGTTTTTCCAGGACCCATCAGCTCCAAGTCAAGTTGTTGTCCTTCAATCTTAGTTGTGGAGGGTGCAAGCTCAGCTCCAAGTCTAGTCGCCGCTTTCAATCTTAGTTGCCGGTGGGCATAGTCCACCATCCCATGTGGGAGTCGAACCGGCAACCTTGCTTCTCACAGCACACGCTCTCACCATCTCAGTGGCAGCTCAGCTCAGGCGCAGTTCACTGGCCCATGTGGAAATCAAACCTGCAACCCTGTTCCTCAGAGCTCGTGCTTTTAACCAACTGAGCCACTCGGCTGGCCCCTCTAATTTCTTAAGAGGAAGACTAACTCTTTTTGTCATCTTCCATCTTGAATAAGGTGCTCAGAGCCTGCAATCTCCCCCTGAATAACATTTTCCTGGGTCCCTTAGGTTTGCTAGTTAACATTCCTCTTTGCCTTGCTTTATGGAAGGTTTCTAATTCCGTTTTTCATTTTCTCACCAATCTAGTGCTTGCATAGTACAGTTTATCTTAAGTGCTGACTTATTAAGACTTTGTGGTCATCTTTTATTATATATTTCTAATTGTATTGGATAATGATGTGAGGGTGTGTTGCTTAAGGTTCTTTGGGGGATGTATTACTTTTCTAGGGGACAAAATTCTACAACATTCTATTAAAATAGCCCATTATAATTGCCTTTTATTAAGATCTTCCCTCAAGTCTAGGCAGTTTTTCTCTATGCAGTTCATTGCTGTGTGTCCATGTTTACAGCTTTATGACTGTATCAGGTAGGGGGTCGCGGAAGAAACAGAACTAGTGGGGTGCACATATAAGCTATTGGCTTATGCACTTGTGGGGGCTGTTGGCAAGTCTAAAA